TGACTAGTATATTGTTATAGTAAGATGTGTTGGTTGGTTCCTACGTAGCTACTAAACTTAAGTACGGCAACCTACTATTACTATTATCTACGGCGGCGAAACTGTGAACCCGGTGCAATCGGGGCCAGTCTGTGAATCATATGTTGAGCGAAGTGTAGGAAATTCGTGTATACGATTGTGCCGCACAACTTGTGCGTGTCAGACACACATAGGCGACACCAACCTGTGCGGTTGGTTTTGTGGCGCAAGCGCTGATTCTGGAAGATTGCGAGAGCTAGAGCGGTGCTGGATGAGTTTGTTCGGGTCTGCTGCATCGGTTGGAGGAGCGTCCGATGAGTGAGGGAGCGGGAAATCACCATTTCTCTACAGTAGAGACTCTACATTCCCAAGAAAATTTTTCTGGATATTAAGTGATCCCAGACTGGGGTTGCCAGTGAAGAAAATTGATACCCTGAAATGAGCGTGATCATTGATTAATAAATAATGAGTACATACGGTATTCAGGTCTCTTAACGATCAAATTTCACTGTGTTTGTGGTTTTTAGCCAGTCGGCTCGATCGAGCCGCATATTCGGGGATGAGTCTCAGTGCTCTATGACTCAGCAATGACCAGTGTGGGAGAATATGCACATGGTCAACTACATGTGTTAGTGATATTGGAGAAAATCGGAGGAAATTTTCGGAAATTCTTATTGTTTTGCTGTACACCTGTAGCAGAATTCGTTTCTAAGCTCTGCTGAGAAACGCGAACACATATCCCAGCACTGTCAATGACTTTGGGATAGTGTATATCTTACTTGTGTCTTCCGAAGGGTGGACTATGATGTGATTAATAGATACCTGGTGTAACTGTTCAGGTGATGTCATCAGCATTGGTAAGTCTACAGGTAGAATCATCGTACTGGGTAGGAGTCATGCCTTGGGCGTATTGAATTGGGAGAGAGTTGAGAAACCTGAAGTACACATATCAGAAGTCACTGCTCATGCCCGTTTATCTCAGCTCATCTCCTATGACAGGTTTTGGTATGCAGACCTCTCCAAAGCCATCAACGGTTTGTTCCGAACGGTTTTTGGCAGTAATAGCAGAAGAGACTTCATTAAGTAACGTTGTCGATGCATGGCCATTGCTTGCATGCCTTCCGTTTCTCTTCTGCCTCAGACCTGTAGACTCAACTGATGGAGGAGCCAAGACGGTATGGCTCATCCGGCCCAATGGATTCGAAGTCGAATCGTTCGGGAGAGTAATCTTCTCAACGTAACTTGATGATGAAGCGGGTAAAGGAAGATATGGAACCGGTTCGGTAACTTGTCTCCACAATTGGGGTAATGTTGGAACGATGGTAACTCGATCCGGACAGGCTAGATCTAGCCGTCGGTGCTTTACTTGACACCGAGGGTTGCTTCATGCTCTTAGCACGTTTAGCAGATGTAGCGACCTCGTCGATGATGGAGGTAAGGCTTCTCATTCTACTGGTAACGCCAGCATCTGCTGCTGGTCTAGGCTGTCTTATATTTACATATGTAACACCTGAGAGAGGTGAACTCTGAAAGACAGGTGAAGTATTTACCCTTGGGTGTTGGTTTGGCCTTCGCCTTCACCTTGGCTTTCGCCTTGGTCTCCAATTTCACCTTCTTCGCCTTCGTTATCGGATCTGCTTCCGGCTGTTCTTGATGATATCTCTCTGGTTTCTGAAGCGTCTTTCCGGCAGCGGCACGTGTTTGCATTTTGACGATTATGGCAAAGCTAACAAGATGGTCTCTGGCGGACAGACTGTCTGCTTCAGGCTCATGTCTCACTCGGTTGATCCAATGAGGACTGCTGGCTCGACGGTGTTTCAACCATGTTGAAGCACCTTCCTGACTGGCAATCCCGACAGGTGTTTCACCATTTAAGATTGTTTATAAGAGGCAATCAGCCGATCATTATATTTAGGTATGAATTGTGAATGCCAGTTTATCTCCTGCAAAGTAACGTACTCCAGGTCCTGGGTGTCAGGAGTATGTGGGACGCGGGCTTCTGCTAATAAACACTCTCTTACTGGCAGTTGAAGTCGAGCCGCTGAACTCACCCATGTATCGAAGAAAGCGTCCTATGTGATTATAGCTGAACTCGCATAACCGCATGTTCGCTCGTAGTTTCTATCCATGTTACAGTGACCCCATCCGAATTTGTTGATTGTTGCGTTTAGCGAAGTGTTTCGAGGTGTCGGAAGAGAGACTCTAAACTACAGAAGGCGAATATTGTCCCAGTACGGAACTTGATAATACTCGTAAATGTCGGACAAAGCGTCTAACTAACGCAAAGCCAAACCCCCAGTAAGCCGACTAACGAATAACAGTAGACGCACGTATCACTTGACTGACAGAGACATCAACATTTAATTCCATCAGATACATATTGAAAATTTTAATCTCATTAGGATTTGAACCTGGGTCATCCGCATGAAAGTCGCGCGCTCTCCCTGTTAGACTGGCATTTTAGGGCGTTTAGTGCCAGCGTCAGGAATTTGGTGCTGGATTCAGTTTGAGGGATTACTCAACCCATGGGCTATGTTTCGACAACTTAAAACGTAGTGGCGCTCGCCCAATAATGTACAACTTGGACAAGAAATGTCGAAAGCAACACCATGGCTGATCTTTGGACAGGTTTTTTGGACAACAAATACGTGTCGACATGTCCAGAAGGACATCCAGCCTCATTTGGACAACATCTTGTCCAAGTGATGTCCAAAGGTGGATTTGTCTGCATTTCCCTCGAAAACTTGTCCAAAGCTTGTCGTTGGCACTTTTGGACAGTTGATAACGCTATCTTGCAATCTCGAAGCTTTCACACTTAGCGATATTAGCATAGATGACCAATGGGCCATTGGCAATGGCACACAATTACGTCTGGATCACACTGATTGCAGAGACTGCAAAGCTTCAACAGTTCATCTTCAAACGAATATTACATTTCGGTCCCGTATCTTGCAATTGTAAGCAAATTGTTTGATACAACACTACATATAAAGGCACGCACGTTTAGGCGAACATGTTCACCCATCACACACGGATGTAAATCAGATTTACTAGATCTCATTGAACATTTAGGAGTCATAACCTTCGAGGCAACTGAGGACGGATTTAACGTGCGAATGTTTAACGGCTGTAATTCATTCAGTATTTCTAACTAGATTTAGTGGAATGCTTGTTTGGAAAAGTCTGGCGGTTAGTGATAGTTTCTTCGTGGAACTTCTCCTGATTCGCAAGTCTCGAGACCTCTTCCGCCCTAGAACATTTACATCATGTACTGAACTCACTCGGATTATTCGAGTCGGATATCGGTAGAATCAGGATTCTCGGGATTAACATGCGAGTCGCATGATGCGACTTCATACACGTGATGAACGTATACAACACAAGCTCTTTAAGTCAGTCATTGGCTATGATCCATAGCTGAGCAAAGTTCATGAAGCGTGTACACACCGATTTTTTACACCATCTGTCTCCCGTAATATTGCTTCGAGCGTTGAGGATTGCATAGATTTCTGTGTTGAGTTCAGTGTGATATACAGTGTATATTATACACCTCCGTTGCGAAATGGCAGTTGACTATTGTTTCGCACCTGATTCTAGTACAATCATTCTACGTTGCACTCGTATTGTGTTCGACCATAACATTGTTGGATCGTGAGAATTGAAACACAACATGAATCATGTTACATGATAAGGGCATTTAGAATGGTATATCTGGTTATAGCTATGTCAATCATCCGCTAAAGACTAGTGAACTGATATTGGTGAGTCATGCTCTGTAAGAGTAGCTCGCCTCGTCCAATCATCACCAGCCTTTTTGATCGACAGCTATTTAATGAGTGCCCCTATTTTTCCTCCGCGACGTTGCGATGTCACCAGCATTGCGAGAAACTTTACTATTGATGTTGATGATATTATCAATGCCCGTAGACTGAAACGACCTGTTGAACCATCGTATCCAATATGAATGCTTGGGGGACAACTCTCCTATATCATGTAAGTGAACGAGGACTGATGTTGCCTCGTGCCACTGTGCCCACCATAGATCAAAACTCTCGTCGTTCTCATTTAAGCGTTGGAACGACCACTTGATTAACATCAATAGGCCCCATAATAGCCTTGCGGGCTCTACATGACAGACAATACCAAGGATCATCGCTAGTGGCAGCGCCGTTTTGGACATCACTACATAAACAGTGATAC